ATTAAAAGACAATTTTTATCAATATATATACATATGTGTGGACTATAACATATAAAATAATATTACAACAATGGAGCTGCAAACACGTATAAACGAATGGAGGCGCATAATCACTCTTTTCCGAAATGACAATAATAGTGTTGGAAAAATCGAACACTAAACAGATGTCGATAACACAATATGTGCGCGATCGAGAATAAGGCATACGAGGTATGCGTAAGCAACGTTTCGTCAAACAAGCCGAGGTTACTGTGTATGAGGATGGGTATACTGAATGGCCCGATCATGCAACTGAAAATTTTTCGTGAAATTCGGAAGACACTTCTCAATTGATGTAGACGACGATGATTACTCATATTTCTGCAGTAAACGTAAAATTACTCGAATCATAGACTCAGAAGATGGTTGGCAATACCAATGTATTGATATGACGCCACAATCGCGATCAAATATTTGAATATGAGAACCATGTTTATATACAGGGTGATCCCGAAAAACCTTCCGTCTGTAAAATGACGTATTCCTGACACCATTCTAAGACAATTTTTTCTTTACCAAAATTTGATTTGAAGCGTAGTTTTTGAGTTATAAGCAAAATTAGTAAATCACGCGTCGGGTACAGAAGCAGCAGACGCCCGCGCCCGAGCGCGGCAGATGATCGCCCAATGGGTGATTACCACTGCATGAGTCACTAACTATTTTATCTTATCCTATCTTAAAAAGTGTATGTTAAGTCGATTACTCGAATATATCGAAATGTTGAAGCCTCCTTTTCTGCGATGCTGATTGGATGCTGGTGCATTCCGATATATTCGCGGTTAGGTTAGGTTAGGTAGCGTAGCGCTCGAGCGCTTCGTCATCCATAACCTATTTGTTACTCTTTCGTGTTACATAGTAGTGCGTTAAGAAAGAATTAAAAAGAATCTCGAAGAGGATAGAAGAAGGAGAAAGAGAGAAAGAAGAAAAGTCGAATAAAGAAGGTATGTAAATATATGTATAAATAATGTTTTTTCTAAAAGAAAGTATGAAAAACTTTTATCCGGAAAAGGTCATATTACTTGTACATATCCTCTCTGCATTATTGTATGTGCTCTTAATAAAACATCAATATATATGCAAGATAATATATGGAAGTTATTTGTAGATATGCATTATATGTTCTACGTTATCTTATATACTATGCGCAGTAATGATTTAAGAGTATATGTACTAATGCGAATAGTATTCATTATTACTAATCTAATTCCAATTAATTTTAAATCCTCTCTGCATTATTATATGTGCTCTTAATAAAACACTAATACATATGCAAGATAATATATGGAAGTTATTTCTAAATATGCATTATATGTTCTACATTATCTTATATACTATGCGCAGTAATGATTTAAGAGTATATGTACTAATGCGAATAGCATTCATTATTACTAATCTAATTTCAATATTACTGGAAGAGTTTGCTTATAAAGAAGCTTGTATAACAAGCTTGTTATCTAGGAAATCTTATATACTATGCATAGTAATGATTTAAGAGTAAATGTACTAATGCGAATAACATTCATTATTACTAATCTAATTTCAATTAATTTTAAATCTTCTCTGCATTATTGTATGTGTTCTTAATAAAACATTAATACATATGCAAGATAATATATGAAAGTTATTTGTAAATATGCATTATATGTTCTACATTATCTTATATACTATGCGCAGTAATGATTTAAAAGTATATGTACTAATGCGAATAGCATTCATTATTACTAATCTAATTTCAATATTACTGGAAGAGTTTGCTTATAAAAAAGTTTGTACAACAAGCCTGTTATCTAGGAAATCTTATATATTATGCGTAGTAATGATTTAAGAGTATATGTACTAATGCGAATAGCATTTATTATTACTAATCTAATTTTAATATTGCTGGAAGAGTTTGTTTATAAAGAAGCTTGTACAACAAGTTTGTTATCTAGGAAATATATAGCTATTCCTTTATATAAGCTTTTGTATAAGTAAACTTCCTAATATTAAAATGTTTAAATTTGATTAATATGTAATGTTGAATTCTATTTAAGTTTGTAGATAGATTTAAATTTATTAATTTAATTTAAATATTGTAAGAAGAGTTTGTTTATATAAAGAAGCTTGTATATATATATAATATATAATATATAATTTATATACAGGGTGAGTTTTTTATCTTGAGACATTGAAATATCTCGTAAAGTCTAAAAGATACGAAAAAATGTTTTAAACAAAAATTATATGATTTTAAAGGGAACATAAGGTAGTGTTATTAGTTTGACCTTGAGGAGTTACTTGAAAGTTACGTGAAAATAAGACATCCTGTATGTTTTTATATTCTCGTAGCTCATCTCGAGAACTTTCCAAAACACTATAATTAAATTAGTTTTTATTAAGTACTTTCTGAGGCATAAAATCATTTTCTTAATTTTATATAAATTGTAAAATATCTTGTAAAATATTTATTTTTCGATTATCTTATTTTAATACTTTTATGTACAAAATAATGTGAGGAATTAATTGGTGTAAGAAAAACATATATTTGTTTCGAAAAAAAATGTAATTGTTAATTGCAAATTACATTTTGTTTTCGAAACAATTATGTGTTTTCTGTACATCAATTGATTCCTCTCATTATTTTGTACATAAGAGTATTAAGATAAGATAATCAAAAAATGAATATTTTACAAAATATTTTACGGTTTATGTAAAATTAAGAAATAACTTTATGTCTCATAAAAGTACTTAATGAAAATTAACTTAATTATAGTGTTTTAGAAAACTCTCTAGATGAGCTACGAGAATATGCAAAAACATACAGGATGTCTTATTTAAAAGATTGGAGGTAACCTTCACATAATTTTCAGATGACTCTTCAAGGTCAAACGAATGACATCATTTTATGTCTTCCTTGAAACCATACAATTTTTGTTTGAAACATTTTTTCGTATCTTTTAGACTTTACGAGATATTTCGATATCTTAAGATAAAAAACTAATTCTGCATATATATAGATATGTATGCATAAATTATAGATATGTATGCATGTATGTATTATTTGTATAATTTTTTATATATTATTTTTTTAAATTAATGTAAATTATTAATATTTATTTCTTTTGTTTCAGGAAAGGCGAGAAAGTTACAAAATTTACATAATAAATAGTAGAAAAAGAGGAAAAGAATAGTGAAGAGAGAAAATTAATTAAGAAAACTTTTTATATTATAAGTTATTTTAATTTATTTACAATTAGTATTTTATATTTAATTATATTTTAATTTTATTGTATTATAATATATTTTATTATTTTATATTTACAAAAATTTAATTAATATTTAATTTTATTATAGTAGTATTATTAATTATTATATATTGTAATTTATTTTATTTTTTATGTATATGTAATTAATAAATAAATCATATTATTTAGAAGTATTGATATTATTATTAATAATAATTATGATATTGATGATAATTGATGATATGAATGATATATAAATGATGACACTGATGATATAAACTATTATATAATATTGACGATAACAACAATAATAATGATAATAATGACAATGAAGATGATGATAATGATGATAACAAAATAATAATTTTAACAATAACTATAGTTTAATAACCATAACAATAACTATAGTTTAATAACCATAATAATTAACTTATTTATGTAAGTTAATTTATTTAAAGTGAGAAAAACAGCAATAATTTTATTAATTCCTTAAGCGTTGTATCGACGTCAATCTATATTTGGTCTTAAAGTAAATGATAATTGTAACTCCAACAATAATTCGTCAAATTCCATTCCTACAGAGAATATTAATTTTTATCTTAATTGAATTTAATCTAATAATAATAATAATTTATAAATAATAATAATTTATAAATAATAATAATAATATTTAAATAATAATATATAAATAATAATAATAATAAATTATTAATATAGTAATAGTATATATAGATAGTAATAGTATATATATATATATATATATATATATATAGATTATTTAATAGTTATAATATAAAAATTGTAATAGATATTTCAATAGTAAAAAATTTTTTGTATAAATTATTTTTTTTTTATTAATATTTATTAATAATATTAAGTGTATATGTTTAAGATTTTATATATAGTATATTAATATAGAAAATTCTTATAAAATGACGAGACGTAAAATTGTACGTACTTTAGAAGAAAAAAAAGAATTTTTGCAACAACATCGAGAAAAAAGAAGGGAGAATCAACGACGTCGTCGTGAAAATAAAAAATTAGTTGAAAATTTTTTGAAAAAGTTAAATCAACAAACTATTTGTATTGCTGGTACATCAAATGATAATCGTGTAATAGAATTAGATATGGAAAATGAAGAAAATCCTTTAAGTGTTAGAGCAACATTACAATCATCTGTAGAATATCAAACTCGTTATCGATCACGGCAGAAAAAACGATCTTGTTTAAATAATATTAGTACACTATCATTTACTGATGTAATTGAATATTATATTGGTCCTATGGATGTGTATTGTATTCATTGTAATGCAAAACACTTTGCAGCTGAAAAAGTTTCTATCTAATAGAGGATATTCATTTCATGATTGTTGTAATCATGGTGCAGTATGTGTGCAACCATTGCCTGAATTTCCTCAATTCATTCGTAGTTTATTTGATGGTAGTCACATAAAATCTAATAATTTTTTTCAAAATATTCGTAGTTATAACAGTTCATTTTCATTTGCCTCATTTAACGCTAATTTAATTAACTTTCAAGATAGACGACCTGGTCCATATTGTTTTAAAATACAAGGACAGATTTATTATCAAATTAATAAAGCATTATATGCTGCACAAAACGAAAGTCCTACTTATGGCCAACTTTTTATCGTAGATTCAAATGAAGCAATAAATCATCGTCTTAATCAAAATTCATACATAGATTTTGAAATTGTACAAAACCTTGAACAAATAATGCGGGAATTTAATGTATTTGCTCAGTCTTATCAAATGATGGGTGAAGAATTAGAAAAGCAACGACGTTTAGAAATGGAATCTGATGAATTATTACCGGAGTTACAATTAGTATTTACTTCAAGACCAGATATGGATCGACGTCGATATAATACTCAAAGAATCAATGAAGTTGCTGCTGTATTCTCTACAACAGCTGATGGAGAAATTCCAGAATCATATGTTACAATACGTAATAAAAATACTAAAACTTTACAAAAAGTTAGTATTATGGATCCAAATGTAGAACCATGGATATATCCATTATTTTATCCATATGGTACTCAAGGATGGCATCGTGATTTAAAAAAATTAAATAGTGATAGACGAATAACTAGAGGACAGTATATTAAATATCGTATAGCTATTCGTGATGATGAATTTAATGTTTTTAATTTTAATTATTTAATTTTTTATTAGGACGTCGCTTATTTCAACAGTGGCTTGTAGACAGCTATGTAAAAATGGAAAAAGATAGAATTGATTATTGTAAAAATCATCAAAAAGAATTACGTAGTGAAACATATCAAGGTTTAAGAGATTATTTACAAACTACGGCTAATAATTTAAATGGACGTATTGGGAAAATGATTGTACTTCCTTCCACATTTACTGGATCGCCACGCAATATGTTACAAAATTATCAAGATGCAATGGCAATAGTTAGTAAATTTGGTAAACCAGATCTTTTCATTACTATGACTTGTAATCCAAAATGGCGTGAAATTGAAGAAAATCTTTTACCTGGTCAACAAGCTTCGGATAGATCTGATATTTGTGCTCGTGTTTTTAATATAAAAAAAGATTATTTAATTGATTTAATTGTTAAACAAAAATTTTTTGGTGAAGTAGCAGCATTTGTATACGTTATTGAATTTCAAAAACGCGGTTTGCCACATGTTCATATGTTAATTACTTTAAAATACAATTATAAAATTACAACTCCGCAAATTGTTGATAAATATATTTCTGCTGAAATTCCTGATCCATGTGATAATCGTATTCTACATGATATAGTTATGAAACATATGATTCATGGACCTTGTGGTGATTGGTGTTTGATAGATGGACGTTGTTCAAAACATTATCCGAAACCTTTTCTCGAAGAAACTAAAATGGATGAAGATGCTTATCCTTATTATCGCCGACGAAATAATGGAACAAATTTTGAACGTCCTGGTGGATATGTAGTTGATAATCGTTATGTTGTTCCATATTGTCCTACTTTATCAATTATATTTAATAGTCATATAAATGTTGAAGTAGTTTCAAGTATTAAATCAGTTAAATATCTATATAAATATATTTATAAAGGACATGATGTTGCTGCTATAACTATTGAACCAGTAACAGAATGTGTTGTTATTGATCATGATGAAATACATAATTACATCGAAGCTCGTTATGTTGGACCTGTTGAAGCTAGCTGGCGTATTCTTAGTAAAAAACTACAAGATAAAAGTCACGCTATAACACGTTTACCAGTCCATCTTCCTAATGAGCAAAATATTATAATTGAAAATGAAAACATTGACGATGCAATGACTTCTGCTTTAGATCAAGTTACTATGTTAATAGATTATTTTTCATTAAACTTACGCGATGAAGAAGCAAAACAGTATTTGTATATAGAAATTCCAAGTTATTATACATTTAAAAAAGAGAAAGTTAACGGTAAAAATGTATCACGTTGGGTCAAACGTAAAAGTCATTATAATTGTATAGGACGAATGTATTCCATTAGTCCAACACAAATAGAATTATTTCATTTACGATTATTGTTACTCACAGTAAAAGGGGCCACAAGTTTTAACGATTTAAGAACTGTAAATGGAGAATTTTGTCAATCATTTTCAGTCGCATGTTTAGCTTTAGGTTTGATCGAAGATGATGATGAATGGAAAAAAGCTATGAATGAAGCTGTTGGATGGATGATGCCACGACAACTTCGTAGACTATTTGTACGTATATTATTACATTGTCAACCATTACATCCTGAAGAATTGTGGGAAAACTTTAAAGTAGCAATGTCTGAGGATTATATTCAACATTTTGGTATATTACAAGGACAAAATAAAGCATATGTACAAATTAATAGTATGCTTCGTGCTGAAGGTAAAAGTTTTGTAGATTTTCCACAAATGAAACAATTAACAGAAAATGATGAAGAAGAGAATTGCATGATATTTGAAGAAGCTATGGAAATAGGCACCAAACAATATAAGCAATTAAATGATAAGCAGAAAGAGATCGTCGATCTTATATTAAATGAATTAAATAATAATATTACTTCAAATAATTGTTTTTATATTGATGGTCCAGGTGGATCAGGTAAAACATATATATACACAACTATCTATTATTTAGCTAGAATTAGAAATAAACGTGTATGTACAATGGCATTTACGGGTATTACAGCTACATTATTACCTTTTGGAAAAACAGTTCATAAGATATTTGGATTACCAGTTCCATTATTTGCTGATTCATCATCAAGTATTAAAATCCAATCAAAAGAAGCTCAATATTTAAAAGAAATTGATATTTTCATTTGGGATGAAGCACCAATGGCACCACGATATGCTTTAGAAATAATGGATCGAACATTGCGTGATATTATGAATAATGATATTCCTTTCGGTGGAAAAATTGTTTTATTAGGTGGTGATTTTAGACAACTTTTGCCTATTAAAGTACATGCTACTCGAAGTGAAATTGTAAATCTTTCTATTAAGTGTAGTTCTCTTTGGAAGTATTTCGTAAAATTCTCTTTAATACAAAATATGCGAGTTCTTCCAGAAGAAATTGAATTTGTAAAGTTTTTATTGAATGTTGGAGATGGTATATTAAATGATCTTAATGATAATATACAAATTCCTGAATGTTATATAGCGTCTATTATATAGCGTCTAATGCTGATATTGTGGAAGATATATATGGTGATTTAATAAGAAAAAAAGAGTTTGTTAAAATGTCTAAATGTGCCATACTTTCTGGAAGAAATGTTGATGTAGATGAAATTAATAAGAAAGTTGTGGAATTATTAGATATAAATGATGAACGAATTTATACAAGTGTAGACACTGCTGTAAATAATGACAATGGTGACATGAGTGAAACATTGTTACCAGAATATTTAAATAGTTTATCTCCATCATCTCTTCCTTCTCATGAATTACGTTTAAGACCAAATAGTATTATTATGTTAATTAGAAATTTAAGTATCAATGGAGGTCTGTGTAATGGCACTAGATTAATGATTATAGAACTTACAGATCATTTATTAAAATGTAAGATTTTAACAGGTGACAAAACAGGAGACATTGTTTTTTTGAATCGTATAACGTTATATTGCGAAAATGTATTTCCTTTTACATTTTCTAGAAGACAATTTCCAATAAAATTAGCTTTTGCCATGACGATTAATAAATCACAAGGACAGACGTTTGATAGAATTGGATTAGATCTTCGCAAAGATGTTTTTAATCATGGACAACTTTATGTTGCTTTTTCGCGAGTTCGTTCTTGGCAAGCGTTAAAAGTTTATCTTGATAATCAACGAAATAACAAATTTGTTAAAAATTATGTATATAAAGAAATTTATATTTAATTTTTTGTTTTTTAAATGTGAAAAAAACAATTTTGTTAAAATAACAATAATAATAATAATAATTTATTCAGCGAATATATAAAAATTTTTTACAAATATAAATTTTAATAATAGAAAATTTTACATTTTATATAAAAGTTTATTTTAATATTGGAAAATTTTATATTTTATATAAATTTGCTTATAAGAAATAAATATAATACACATATAAATAAATATAATACGTAATCAACATTTGCTTAGTCAATTTTTTTATATGTAATAATTTGTATAAAATTATAATATAAGATGTATAAAACAAAATATGATATATTAGAAACTTATAATAATAAGAACTTATTATATAATATATCAAAGGATAATTGAAATTGTGTAGTCGACCAAACTAGCCAGAAATATAGTTTATTAATATGAAATATAATTTGACCATATGATTGTGGTCCTTATATAATATATAATACTTATTATAATATATAAAAGAAAGTTATTTAATAATATATTTATATAATATATACGAAAAAGTTATATAAAACAAGTTAAAATAACAATAATTATTATGAGTTGGACGTGGAAGTTGAATTTCTCTTATTCTGATCCTGTGAAAAAAATATATAAATTAATTATACATATAATATATATATATATATATATATATATATATATATACACAGAGTGTCCCAAAACTCATAATCAATCTTTCAAAGACAGATTCCTGAGATTTGGAGACGATTTTTCCTCAATGAAAATGTCGATATGAAGGCCATTATTTTTTGCATGTTTCCACTTTTTGTCATCATATATCTTTACAATTAAGTTTTAAATTAAAACTCAATTGAAGTAAACTCTATTTAAAATTAATCGAAGAATGTGGTTTAATTAATATTTTATTTCTACAAAGCTTAGTTTACGAAAAAAACCCTTATTTCCAATCACTTATAATTCGAAAATTATTAGTGCTTCGACATTTTCGTTGAGGACAAATCGTCTCCAAATGATCCCAGGAATCTGTCTTTGAAAGATTGATTATGAGTTTTGGGACACCCTGTATATGTATGGTGTACTATATAATAATAATTATATGATTATATAATAATTATATATAAGTATCAAAATGATGAATATTATTAATTGTAAAAGTAAAAAATTAGAGTGAAACTTTAAGAGTTTTACTAATCTCTTCAACAAGTTTTATTAAAAACTAATAGTTTTAATATTAATTATAATAATTATACCTGATTAGTATTAATTATACCTGAAAGTACATCATCTATTTTTCTTTTCAAATTTTTAGTTCCATTTATTAAAGTTAAGAGTGGCATGTGCCCTGCGATTTTTTTTATATTTTCTGTATTGTTGACAACTAAATATGATGGAATAACTAAAAATTATAAAAATATTAATAAATAAATATAAACAATATAAATAAATATATAAATATAAATATATACATAAATATAAATATATATATATATATACAGGGTTGGGCAAAAGTCCGGAAACGGTCAAATATCTCGAAAAGGATCAACTATAGCGAAAAATTGTAAATAGCAAAGTTGTAGGGCTTAAAAAAATGTACCTAATGATGACTAAAAATTTTACTTTGAGTGGAGGACGAAGATCATATAAAAGTCAAATTGAATTTTTTAAATGAACTGCCTACTTTTTATTGCATATTCTTATAGCTTATCTCGAGACCTTTCCAAAACACTATAATAAAATATTTTTTGTTAAGTATTTTCCGAGTTACAAGACTTGAAAGTTACAGTACCGCATAATCCAAGGTGCACCACTCCGGTCACTCGGGTCACTTCCGCGGGTGACATACCTTTGAAAATATCGTTTCCCACTTTCTCAATTAATCAAATGTTCAAAATGTTTTCCTTCTACCGTTTGACAATGAGCTAAACGCTGATAAAAATTATTGATCACATTTCTTATTTGTTCTAAAGTAATCAGAGATGCTTCCTGTGTTATTCGGTTGCTAAGGTCTTCCAAATTACGTGGTTTTGTCACATAAACCTTACTTTTGAGATATCCCCAAAGAAAATAATCAAGAGGAGACAAATCAGGTGATCTATCAGGTGATCTTCAAGTCTTGTAACTCGGAAAATACTTAACAAAAAAATATTTTATTATAGTGTTTTGGAAAGGTCTCGAGATAAGCTATAAGAATATGCAATAAAAAGTAGACAGTTCCATTTAAAAAATTCAATTTGACTTTTATATGATCTTCGTCCTCCACTCAAAGTAAAATTTTTAGTCATCATTAGGTACATTTTTTTAAGCTCTACAACTTTGCTATTTACAATTTTCGCTTATAGTTGATTCCTTTTCGAGATATTTGACCGTTTCCGGACTTTTGCCCAACCCTGTATATATATATATATGAAAATATTTTTAATAAATTATTTAAATGAAAATTATTTTTAATAAGTAATTACAATTTTGTAATATTATATATATATATTGTATATATATATATATATATATATATATATATATATATATATATATGGGGCATTCCACGCCAAATCGGACGGTTTAAAAAATTTTTGTTTTGATTTTCTTAATTTTAGGTATTTTTTAGTACCCCTCAAAAGAGGCTTCCTGGTAACTTTAGAGATTTTTTTGATCACTGGTTCAAAAAAATATCGAATTTTAAAAAAAAACCGCCTCTTTTTTTGGCTTTTGCTCATAACTTTCTTAATAATTGGTCGAAATTCAATTTTTTTTTTTCAAATTTTCGTTTTTAGATGGCCTGTACAGAAAAAAATACAAAAAAAAATATTTAAAGTGTTTTTAATCGAGAGTTTTTGAATTTTAAGTTTTCAATCGTGGTTTTTTAAAATTGTGTGTATCCTTCGATTTTCTTTGAAAATTTCTATTTTAAACTTCTCTCCATCCTGCAACTTTTAAGCCCGGTCTGGTAGTGGGCCTTCCATAATAAACTATTTTTTTCGATTTTTAAAATTAAAAATTTTGAATAGTTAATTACGTATATAATTTTATTTTTTATAAGTGAAAATTTATAACTTTTATAAGTAAAATTTTATATTTTTAAAGGTTTGAAAATTAAAAAATTTCATTTTTTTAAATTAAAGATCTTAAAATGGCGTTTATTCTTATTATAAATTAATTTTAATAGTATATAAACAATTATAGAATAAAAATAAGTAAAAATTAAATAGTTTGTTTTGTAACTACGCGGTTTTTCTTTCCCGTACCGCGAAATTTCTGATTGCGGATAGCCGTCGGTTCCAGGTACAGAGAATAAGATGTACGTGTGCTTAATTGATGCGTGTATTGTATAGTAATGCGTTACAACAAGTGTGTGTGTGTGTGTATGGTGTGTGATTTCGGTCGCCGCGAGTGTTAAAGCGCGATAGATCGATAAATCGCTCGTTCGCTTGGAGCGGGCGGCGGTGAGAGCGCGATATAAATATAAACTATCTAATTGCGGTAACAATAGTAACGGTGCCTCGGGTCTCGAGTACAGGCGAGGATACGGTCGCAATACCGGAGTATGCAAATATAAACTATAATTTCGGCGGACTGCAATCGCGCCGTTCGCGGTATTAGATGCGTCCTTACTTTCTTATCGCGCGCGTTTTTTGCGCAACGGTTTATTGCGGCTCGGCTTAGCCCGGTGGATGGCCTTTAAGAATATTTGTTCCAGAAGGATATCTAGGAGTAGGAATGGCGGTTCGCGACGCCTAGCAAGCGTCGGAGGCGGGCTCGTGTTCCACTCGGGAATAGATGCGACACCTGAAGTATA